ACATTTTCACTTCACTCATCCCTCAAATTCTCACTTTCACTCTCTCTCACTAACGTAGAAGACCCATACACTTTCACACTCAACCACCGGGCTCGACGCTGCCGCTGCCGCCACCGCTACTGTCACCGTTGCTGTTGCTGCTGCCCCTTTTTCTCTCACTCACTCACTCACTCACTCACTCACTCACTCACTCAATTTTGTGGTAAACCCTAAATTCAAATTAGTGTAATGTTGAAAATTACTCTTAATTGTGGTTAATTAATGTAAATTGTATCAAATTGTTGCTAATTATTAATGAAAATGTGGTAAATTGTTGATAACTATTGATGGTAATGTGGTACATTGTTAATGAAATTGTTGAAATTGTAGATGGTAATGTGGCACATATATGTGAAATTTAAGGGCATTATGTTTATATATTAGTGTGGTTTAAAATATGATAATTTATCTATAGATTATTGGTGAGAAGACTCTTATTTCGTTATTGATAATTTATCTATCAATTTATATTAGTGTAATGTTTATAATATTAGTTTGTTAGTAATCGTTTTGCATTGCAACCTAAACTAAGAGTTTATAAATGGAGTTAATGCTTAGTTTGTAGGCTCTTGTCAACAAATGAACAAATAATGTGGATCTTGTCAACAAATGAACAAATAATATGGATCTTTCAACTTTTTTTACCTCGCTCTAGATTTCAATTATCCTAAAATGTGTTTTGGTTGTTACGTAGAATATGGCTGCATAAAATGTAGTTTTGTTATGCCAGTGGGGAGGTGAAATTCTGTTTGATGGACCTTGTGTCGAGTATAGTGGAGGAAATATGGAACCACTAACACTTGAACCGAACATGACTTTCAATGATTTGATGAACGAGGTTCATAGTAGTATTGGTTCAAACCCAAGGAATGTTGAACTAAACATTAAAATGAGGTTTGAGACTGGCAATGGGGTTCAAGTGTTACATGTTTCTACGAATAAACATTTGAAAGTTTTGAGGAGCGTTGTTGTAATGAAGGGTGTTCCCACTGAGATATATGTAGAATTGGTGCCTATATGTACCCAACAAACTACTCGGCCAGAGAAACAATCTACATATATTTCCAGTTACAACACAGAGTCCTTCCAAGTGTCCTCACACGACATTCCATCAACTAAATATGGGATGGGATCTTTCGGTCGAATGTTGCACGACGATCAATTTCACATGTCGTTTAGTTCTCATATAGCTTCACCTGTACATGGGGGGCATATGTGCCAATAACCGGCTAACCTGGTCCTTCGACATCAAACCCCGTCACACCTTCACTGATGCAATTGCATAGTTATTCGCCTATGCAAGATGATGTTCAAGCATCACCGTCTCAACTTGTGCTAAATCATCTTGAAACTATTATGAATAACGAATTGTCTGTGTATGATGTGTATACAAATGATGAGGCCGAGAGCGGAGAGGAGAAAGATGGACTTTAGAACATGGATGTTGAAGCTGCACAAATGGAAGTTGGTGAGCCCCTAGTTAGAACTCCCGTACCTTGGTTCAGTCAGGTAAACGAGAACTATGAAGTTGATCAGTATTGGGCTGAATCAGGTAGCCATACATCGTTTGTTCCCGGGGGAGAATTTGAGAAGGGAATGTATTTTGAAAGTAAGAAAATGCTTCAAGAAATGGTGAAGATGTATTCTATACAGAGGAATCAATTCTACACCACAGTGACATCGAATGAGAGTGTCCTTCATCTGCGGTGTAAGAAGAAATGTGGTTGGAAGCTACGGGGTACCAAATCAAGTGAGCACTCGCGTGGCTTTACCCTAGTCACGTACAAAGGCCCGCACTGGGAGAGCTGTGTCACTGAAGTACTATCTACTAATCACCCACACTTGGATTCGTCCATAATATCAGAGTATGTGAAGTCCTTTGTGCAGAAAGATCCGTCCTTGAAAGTTGAATTCATACAAGAACTCATCTCCAAGCAATTTCATTTCGAAGTTTCGTATCGAAGAGCATGGTATGCCAAGGAGAAAGCTATAGCTGAAATATTTGGGGATTGGGAGAGTTCTTACGGCAGACTTCCGCACTTCATGCAAGCACTGCAACAGTCAAACCCGGGAACCATTGTCGTATGAAAACACAAAGCTCTGGTGGATGGTGTATACTATAGCAACGTGGAAGTGTTTGAACGAGTGTTTTGGGCCTTCGGTCCTTTTATCGACGGTTTTAAACATTGTATGTTTGTTATCTGTATCGATGGAACGCACTTTTACGGGAAGTATAAAGGAACACTGTTGGTTGCTACAAGTGTGGATGCAAGCTTCCAAGTATTTCCGCTAGCATTTGCGTTGGTTGAAGGGGAAAAAACTTCCAGCTGGTCTTGGTTTCTAGGCTGCATTCGGGTTCATGTCACGCAACGAGATGGCCTCTGTGTTATATCTGATCGACATCCCGGGATCATTGCAGCAATGAATGATCCTAACGTTGGATTCACCGAGCCGCGAGCCTATCACAGGTTTTGTGTTTGCCACATAGCTTCTAACTTGAAGACTCACGTGCGAAGCAACGACATGAGAGATATGTTCAAGGCTGCTGCGTACCAAAGGCAAGAAAGAAAAATTTAAGCTGATCTGTGTTTCATCGGTGAGGCATGTACCAAGGCCATGGAGTATATTGTTCAAGACCCGTTTCTTATGTGGTCTCTTTTCCATGACGCTGATCGCAGAAACAGGATATGTACTACAAACTTCTCTGAAACATTTAACAATGTGTTGAAGGGAGCTCGGTTTCTACCGATCATGTCCCTTGCCGAGTTAACTTTCCATAGAGTTAACAGGTATTTCACTTTAAGAAGGGAGTCTTCTGAGGCTAGGTTTGAGCAGGGACTTGCATACCCCCCCCCCAAAGGTCACTCCTATTCTGGAGAAGAAAATTGCAAAAGCCAGATTTCATAGAGTGGATGCGGTGACAGGACATGCGTTAGTCGACCCCGTTGGTTTGGTAGCTCGGGTTCTCGGGGTTCAACTAGGTCTCGACGAGATCAAGGGTTCCGGGTTGAGGGCCGGCTAGATACGCGAGACTTTTCGTGTGCTGCCTGCGGACGCTGATGACGCCACGGTTCAGAGACACGCTCGGGCATACTTATTCTTGCTCATCTCGGGCGTGTTGTTTAGCAACAAGAGCGGGAGCCATCTACAGCTTATTTACCTACAACTGTTAAACCACGACTGGGATCATATCCGTGGCTACAGCTGGGGTAGTCCCTGTTTGGCGACGTTGTATCGCCAGCTGTGTAGAGCATCCCACCGCGGTTCTGGCGAGATCGGAGGTCCATTGATTGTGCTTCAGGTAACTCACCTAATTATCAATAATCTATTTTGTCTATTACTTACCTAGTTTATACTTAACCTAGTTTTGTATTTCTGTGTTACAGTTATGGGCTTAGGAGCATATCCATGTAGGCAGACCAGATAGGCCTGTTGTATATCGTCAGGGGCAGTAGGACCGGGACGACCAGTACCAGCCGTACGATGCTCCACTGCTCCCTACACCTGAAGAGGCGTACGGTTACAGGTTTGTTACAATTGTCATTACTGTAGACTTCATACGGTTTTATTTTGCTAGTTGACAAACTAAAACAGTTTTTGGTATTAGGTGGGTGGTCCCCAGACTGACACTTGCGCATGCGGCGAGGGGTCTTCCGTACTACCGAGACGCCCTTGATCGACTGACCGAGGATCAGGTGGTAACTTAAAAGGAATTTGTAAACATTTATTTAATATGATTCTTGTCAGTGCACTAACCTATTTACAGTATTACTTTTGATGTGTTTTTGCAGGTGACATGGGATCCGTATGTAGCTGACTTGGTTGATGCCATGCCTGCTCATCTGCTGGATCATCAGGCAGAGTGGCGTGCCAGGACCCGCCTGATCTGTTTTGAGGTTGTGGAGAGTCACCTACCCGACCGAGTCATGAGACAGTTTAGACTACGCCGGCCTGTCCCTATGGAGTGTGATACTAGTATCTGCTTGCATGGCATTGGCCGTCGGGGAAAGGGGGAGACAGACTGGTATAGGGTTTACATTGACTTATGGCAGCGACGGTTGGAGTTCGTCGTAGAAGGTGATCCGATGCAGGGCGTTATGGATCCTCACGATCCGTACATGGTCTGGTACAGGCGGATTACACGGCGTTTCATCAACCCCAGCTACACATCACCAACACATTACCATCCAGCATATGACGTCATTAGCGAATATGTGAGTTTCTTTTATTCTACTTATTTTCATCAATTTTTTAATTTCTATATCATATAACTAACTAATCGATGATTACTGCAGGCGGCGGATATGGTGGCGATGGTTGATGCACTATCAATCGCCCTTGCAGACGGACCCACCTGACCCCAGGTCGAGCGGGTGCGAGATATGGGCGTGGCTTCCTTACAGAGATATGGTCACGGCCATCTCGTCCACTAATGGGACGCTCATGATGGCCACTCCGTCCATTCACAGTTTGAGCTCGGCCAGAGTAGCGGTGGAGGTGATCCTACGTCACCCAGAGACGCAGAGGATTACATCATCCACAGTCCGACGCCCAACCCTACCCAGGAGGACCCTTAGTCTAGCCAGCAGACTCCCCCACCGCCCCGAGACCCATTCACCACCATTACTCATTACAGGCGGCATCGTGTCAGACAAAGGGTTGACAGACAAGATAGAGAACCATTACCCTGAATAAATGAGTCGGGATAGTATTATCTGATTTATTTGCTGTAGCCGGATTTTCTAAAATGATGTATATAACACTTACATTATTAATATAATAAATGTTTTTTGAATGAATCTGTGTGTGGTTTGAAGTTTAATTTCCTTATTTGTCCAAATCGGACTTATGTCAGTCAAAATAAATTCTTCTAGGCCGATATATATCAAACACAAGACATTTGGGCTTCATAATGAGAAAGGGGTTAGAAGCGATGGCCCGTGGTGGTTAATGTGGTGGTTCATGGTGGTTCTAGTGCTGTTTTTCTCAATCACAACTTGTTCGAAATGAATTTTAATATAATAAATGTTTTTTGAATGAATCTGTTGTTATGATTGCCATTTTTTTTTTTTTTGAAAACTAGTGAGAGAGGTTAACTCATCGTTCCTTTTCGTCTTAAAATTCTTTTCGAACAAGTTGTGATTGAGAAAAACAGACCCCAAAAAATTTATTAAAAAAAAAAAAAAAAAATGGCAATCATAACAACAACGAAAACCAAAGTTCATATTTTGCAAGGCGCTCTTGAGATCGGCGCTTAGCAACCCTTCTCTCGTTCTCTCTCTCTCCTTTATCTGCAAATTTTCTGAATCATTTCTATGTTGTTTCCCTCAATTTCTTCCTCAAAATCATAGTTGATTGTATTCGATTTTACTGCCAATTCTAGGTAATCTGATTTCGCAGGTTTGATACGTATCTGTTGATCTTTTTGGCTTTAATTTTGGTTAGGAGAAGGAGTTTCATTGATTTTAGGGTTCAATTACTATTGTATGAATTCATTTCTTAATTTTTACTTGTTATTTGGGAATTTAATTAGGGTTTTTAGTTGTTTTAGATCTGAATTTGGGAACCGCGTTTTTAAAGGCGAATTCAAGATGTTTTGGCGTATGGCGGGTTTGTCCACTGCATCTCCGGTGAGTTATTTTTAGATCCAATTTTTAAATTTTGTATTTTTTCATAATTTTTTGTACTTGATTCTTGTGAATTGCTAGTAGCTGATAAACTTATTGAATCTGTTAATCAGATGACCTAGTGTATTTCTGATCACCTTATTCTTGTGGTTGAATTTCTAATGTGAATTACTTTTGCTTGCCGAAGCAACGTGTCGCTATCCCGAAATAATTCTATTGTGTGGTTATGTGGTATAATTTTGCTAAAATTTGTCAGAAGTTCGGTACTCAACTACTCGGTTCATATTTATCAATTGCTCGCAGGACTCAGTTGAATTGTAGGCTTGTAGCCAGTAGCCCTGCCCAGCTGGTTCTTGTTCATTTTGTTGACCTAGGACTTATGTTTTCGGTTCTCCCAATTTTTATGGGAATGCATTAGTAAATTAAGATCGTTCTGCTATGGTTTCCTTTCAATCAAAAGCTGAACATATTTCCATTGTAATCGGCCTGCTCCACAATGCAGTATATATCTGCATAATGTGATCAGTTAATCAGGACCGTTGTGCTATGGAACAATCAAATAAGGAATATGTAGGAAGTATATTTGTAAAGTTTGGTTAACCTCTAATTCTTATCATCTTCGTGCACTTCAGAAACCTCTCATTATAGCTTTTCTGCAGAAAATTTAATTTATTTCTCAGTAGAGTTGGATGGAGAGTGCAGTTAATGATTTACCTACTTTTTACCTTGGGATCTTGTGACTCATGGCAAGAGATTATCTTCTGCTTTCATAAAACTGCTTTGCAAACTTCAACTCTAGCTGCTACTCATTTCTGAGGCGCTACCTTTTTCTTTTCTTCTTCTTATTTACTTTGAAATAAATTATTTTAATGCTGGACTTTCCTTTTGTTCGTTGTTGCTATTGTGTTTTGAATGCCTAAATTATGGCTTATATTTTTTTGTAGAAACTATACTGTGGTAGTGACACTAAAGATTACCTAGGGCCAACTTTTATTTATTTAAGCTGTTGTGGGACTCTTGATGCAGCATGATCATATCTTTAATGGGTTTCCTTTTTTTGTGACTTTGGGAGTCTTCTAGAATCTAGAGCAATGGTAAATCTGTAGAAATAATTTGTGTACATGTCAATTCAATCTGTTTTAAGGTGTTGCATGATAATCTGATTGAGAAGCTTGTTACAATGTTACTTTCTAGGAATTTCCACTTTGATATGTTCTTGAAGTAGTCCATTTGGAGAAGACAAAAAATTTGTCAGGTTTGATCCATGAGCTGTTGAAGGGACTTAGTTTTACTTTCTAGTCACCCCCCCCCCCCCAACATACACCATCACCACCGTCAAAATGCTCTTGGTGAGAAGAGTATTAATAGCTATTATGGAATTTGCTGGTGACCAAGGGTACCTGTGGAACTCCTATTTATAGAGCAATTGAGGGTTTAGGCATGGTGTGACCCCAAAATAACTTAGAGTGTTTTATATGTAAGTACTTCTTTGCGCCAAATTATTCAGATTTATGAATTCTCCTAGTGAGTTAGTCTGCAATCATGTGAGGATTTGGCTTCCTATGTTAGTCTGTACATCCAATATATTGCATGTGCGGAAAACCTTTTTTTCAAGGAAGTTTGTCTAGAAGTTGCGAGTGTAATTTAACTGTTCATGTGTGAACTCAACTTTGAAATTTGAAAGCAATAGGAAGCAATTTAGATTGATGCTATTATCACAGTTGTATTAGCGTGTCAAGAGGAATGTTCTTTAGGTGAAAGCATTTATTTGTAGAACCTTCATAAGATTTTGATAGAATATTTTTTTTGAAATTATAGCCTTTTGCAGTCTGCAATTGATTATTTTGATTGAAGAAGACATACTGGCAATTTTGCGGGTTTTTTTTTTTTTTTTTTTTTTAATTATAAAAACTAAAATAATTCCTTTTGTTTTCATTTATCAAGATTTTACACCCCACCCTTGTGATTCTCTTCCTTGAAAGGGGGAAGGATAAGTTGTGTGTGAGTTCTTTTGTGCATTTTATTATATATATCCTATACTAGGCTTTCTGCTTTCCTTTTGTTTTCATCAGCATAGATATGTAATTGGTTGAGCTGAAAGGAAGAGCTTTTTTTCATGCATGTGGTTCCAGGTGGAGACCATTTTGGACAAGGATAACTTTACACTGGATGAGCTTCTTGATGAGGATGAAATAATACAAGAATGCAAAGCTCTGAATGCTCGGCTTATTAATTTGTAAAGCTTCTACTCCTTTTAGGTTTTTTTAGTGCTCATGGCTTGGTTGCTTTAATTTTCATGTTGTCACCCATCTCCTCTTTGATGTTTAATAAATTACCTTTTATTTGTTATATTAGCATTGTCGTATTTCTATATGCTTGAAAGCAATGGTTTATTTATGGTTCTCGTGTGCTTATGTGGTCTAGACTCGTAGATTCCCCAGGCTTACCCTTGTGAACTTAAAATTAGAGTCCTGGCCTATCCGAGTTTGATCCTTTAAATTTCCAGCTGGATATGGCAGTCAGAGAGGCAAAGGAAGAGGCTGGAGGAGAATGGGGTAGAAAGGCTTGAAATCTCTGTAGCCAACTCTTGGGATCAATCTCCCGACACCAGTGAATTTTGGCAGTTAGAGTCTAATTTTTGTTGCTGGGAATGACATAGGTATAGCCTGTATACTAGCTGGCTGTGTACTCTCTATACTGCTGGTCCGTTGGTGTTTGATTTCAGTATCACTGAGATGGAGGAAAGACATAATATGTCTGTAGCCAACTTGTTAAGTAAATCTCCAGTGAACTTTTGGCCGTTAGAGTCTGATTTCTGATGCTGGTAGTCACATTTGGAAAGCACGTGATGCCGATGTTGCTAGCAGGCTGTGTACCCTTGCTATTGCTGGTTTAAACTTTGCAGAGGTGGAGGAAAGTAAATTGAAGCTGCAACCATTGATTCCATACCTTTTCCAGTGTTTTGAGTTGTGTTTGTTAATTGAGGGTCAAAGAGAGAGACATAGGAGATGCTAAAGGTTTAAGGGAGAATAAATATATTCAGGTTATAAGCAACTATGTTTTTTCCCTTCTCATTCAGCACATTGTATTTGGTTAACAAAAGGTTTGGGAAGTGCACTTCGAAATTGAAAGAATAAAGGGCTTCATTGTGGTTACTTTTCTTATATTTATTGGTATAAGAAAGGTTGAATAGAGTAAATACTATGAGGCGGACTTGTTCTCTTTACCTGAAATGAGGTGATCTGGTTTGATTCTATTAAGATTTGTTTTGGTGGCTCTGCCTGAAATGTTCTGGCTGATTTGATGGCTTAATTTGACTGAACTTTGACTGCATATTAACACTACTCTATGAGAAAAAAAATGTTATCAAATTGGATCTTGTTAGATTGGTCTTATCGTGTACTTTTCAATATGTAATCTCCATAAATTTATTTAACACGCAATTAAAGATTTTTAGTAATAAGTAAACAATAATTAAAAGTTCTGTTTCTGGTATGACTTGAATTTTTCTTTATCTGATATGATCTGATTTGATTTTGTGAAGAATAAGTAAAAAGTATCGAAAAATAACTGAAGAGAACAAGTCCTTAATATGTGCTGTGTTTTATTTTTTGCTTTATTACATAACTGAAAGAAATTCAATATCACCTCATTTTATCATTAACGTTAGTGTGAATCCCAACCTTATAAAAAGTTTAAGAAAACTCTTATGAATAGTGCACGGACATTTATATCCCTAAAAATGTTCTTTTGAAAACATATTTGACCCCATTTGATTTCAAAAACCTTTTAATTGTCTCTTGAATTTCCTAATTGATTTAAAAAGTTATGTTTATTTCAATATTTAAATCCATCTATTGCTCTCTCTATTTCTTTTTGTTTAATTTTTCCTATCTAGAATTTATTAGACATTTATATTTGTACATCAAACTCAATATTTTTTCACCTTCACTAAACCAAAGTAGCTTAACTAAAGTTTAGAACATTGCACAAATACACTATATCCAACACATTTATCTTTTATATGCAAATAGTTTTGATACAATATTAAACAAACAGGCATAGGGCATTGAGAACATCAGTAATAATTCTTTTCAAAGGGCTAGCTATACCGCATCGCGCGAGTTGAAATCCCTAGTTTGATAAATTTAAAAGTTCCTGAAATTAATGTTGTGTCCTTGCAACAACTTCAAATATGTATGCAGCCTTATTCCTTAGTATTGTTCTCTGTCCCTGTGCCCCTGTCCAAATTAGGACATCGTTGCCAGACAAATTATTGGGCCATGGCATGGTAAATGCTTTGGTATACCTCTACTTAGCTCCCGTGCTTGGATCTGTTGCTTTGTGCTGTGTTTCCCACAGTTTCTAGCGTCTGTCTTCCATTTTATTTTAGTGTTCCCTGATAGGATATCTTGCTGAAATAATTTTGTTTATCCCTTAACTTGGTATATGTTAGTCAGCTGGGTCGTTCTGTTTTTCACTTATTGGATCGTCCTCTTTGCTTATTAATTTTCCTGTATGAGTTTAGTATTTAAAAATGATCTTTCTACTTGTTACAGGAAGTGATGCGTTTGATCTTAGTAGATGCATGCTATCTTTTTTTATTTTTTATTTTTTTTATTTTTATTTTTTTTTGTGGTTTTTGAAGTGGAAGCAATACACATGATACAGTAAGGTAGTGATAAAGTGGTTGCAGGAGCTAGGATAAGAAAATTCTGGCTTAGTAAATATGGTTATATGAAAATGTAGATTTAAATACCTTTTCTATCTTTTGTTCAAATGATTCAAGATTTTTTGAATACACATGACCAAAAGGGAAAAAAATATTAAACATCCAAAAGTGCCCATATTAAAAATGCTTTCAGTACTTGCTTCACGGCTCACTTATTTTTGGAACTTTTTGCTATGTAATGACAACTTGATTGTAGGTTCATATGACTTGTTGTTCCTTAAATGTTGGGTTTCCCATAAAGGAATAAAAGGTCGAGATACTAAGTTGCTATTTGAGCTTGAGATGTGCATGTATATTAGTCATACAGATGGATCTGCTTTTATACTAATGTTATTCCTATTTACAGCTTGCGTGAGAGACCACAGGTTGAGCAACTTATTCGTTATATCGTAGAGGAAGCTCCAGAGGATGCTGAAAGACAGAGAAATTTTAAGTGCGATTTCACAATTTTCTTTTAGAATACTTTTTTCTGCAGAATTTTTACAATCTTTTTTTTTTTTGATCCATTAGTATTCTGTTCTGTCTGTGTTAGGTTTCCTTTCATTTCTTGTGAGATTTTTACATGTGAAGTTGACATTATTCTTAAAACATTGGTAGAAGATGAGGAGGTATTATTAATTTTCTGAAGTTATAGTTTTTCCTTTCATTTCTATTTGCCTTTAATCCCTTATTTATGCTTGTTTTATCCTTTTGGCAGCTGATGAATCTGTTATTCTCATTCTTGGATCGTGAACACTCACATAGCACCTTATTGGCGGGATACTTTAGCAAGGTAGATGCTTATTTTTATGTGTAGTGCTTTATCCATATATTTTTTTAAAAAAAACTTCAGTTTATATTTGTTTTGTTATTTTTAATTTTTTTTTCCCTCTGTTATCCTTTGCTTACGAACTTTCTAATTGAGCGTATCATTTTTCTTTTTATCCAGGTCGTGATTTGCCTTTTGATGCGAAAGACTGTTTCACTTATGGAATATATTCAGGTGAGTATGCAAAATGCCAATGCCTTTTTTTTTTTGGTTGAGAAGTCTTGTTTAATAAATTGTTCCTTTGGCTACCTATGAAAATTTCCCAGGCTCATCAAGAAATCATCAGACAACTGGTTGATCTTATTGGAATTACGTCTATTATGGAGGTTGGTGTTGTTATCTGCACTTATAGCCAATATCATCTTGTTGCTTGCATTACTCAGTCTTCTAAGTCATCTTTGAGGTTATATACTTAATTGTCTAAATCACAGCATGTACTCAATAGTTTATTTTCACTCTTCTTCTGCATTCTTTAATATCATTGTGGGGGATTTTGTGCATTGTTTTTTACAAGCTTTCTCACTCCCATCTATTTCAGTTATCAGTGCCTTCATATAAGCAATAATGTTAATTTTCAAGTATATAGTTATTTCTGTTTCACCATTGTTTTTGGGACACAACTTATTGACTTCATTTCTTTAAACTATTTGATAGTTTATTTTTACCCTTAATTAGTTTCCTTTGAATTTTTTTTTGTGGAATCGTGCATGTTATTACAAAATCTTATGCTCCCTTGTTTCCTTGATTAAAGTGATAGTATCAATCTTCAAGTTATTGTTTAAAAATACTTCCTCCGTGTTTTAACAAGTGTTACACTTACCAAATGCAACCCTGTTTTAATAAGTGTTACACTTCCTTTTTTTTTTGCAAAAAGCTATATTTTAATATTATATTTTTCTCCTTTCATGGTCCCCACTCAAACCCACTACCACTTTTTTTTTTTTTATTATTTCTTTCCTCTCACATTCATTACTTATCATTAAACTATTAACCCACTATATTTCTTATACAATATTCTAATACTCCAACTACCCCACTTACCTCTTATTTTATTTAAGTCAAATAAATTGCCTAAAACTATGTGCCGGTGAAAGTGTAACACTTATTAAAACACGGAGGGAGTAGTAGGCTTGTCAATTATCCCTAAGAGCATCCACAAACAAGGACCTGCTAGCAATTTCTAAATAATTGCTAGCTACATGCTAGCCATTGTGGAGCTACAACCTCTTATAGCTAAGCCAAACTACATAGCTCTATAGAGCTATGTAGTTTCACTTCACCCAATGCTATTATATTTATTTGTTTACTATATTTTATGTATTTGTTTGTTTGTTTATTTATTTATTATTTTATTTTTTTATGGTTTATTTATTACAAAAGAATGTAGCTTACCATTGTAGAGGTTGTAGCTTAAATCATGTAGCTTGGAGATTTATGATGTGGCAACCCAAAAGCTAGCCATTGTGGATGCTCTAACCCAATATTTATTTTTGCATGTTTGGATAGATATTTCCCTGTGTGGATGGTGACAAGGAAAAGTACTTGGAAATGATTTTCCTTGCGCATTACTTATTGGCATAATGATATTTGATTAAGTTAGCTGAGTTCATTTTGTCTTTTGTCTTTACAGGTGTTGGTTCGCCTTATTGGTGCTGATGAACATATATATGCGAACTATGCAGAAGCTATGCGGTGGTTGGAAGATACAGATGTCTTGGAGATGATTGTGGATAAATTTAGTTCTTCTGTGAGTGATTTCTTCTCATGCTTGTAGATTTGGAAAGTTTACTGTTTGTTCGATTGATGTGTGAAGAATTAATGCTGTGGTTTTTACAGGATTCTCCTGAAGTCCATGCTAATGCTGCAGAGACGCTGTGTGCCATTACTAGATATGCTCCCCCTGGCATATCAGCTAAAATTACTAGTTCAAGGTAGTTTCAAGCTTTCTCTTACTGTTTTGGCTCTTTTGAGTATTATTAATGTGGGCTGTTTAACAGAGAAAAAATATCTTAGGAAAATGTCAATAATTACTTTTGCTTCTAGGATACAGGTAAAGAGAACAATTAGGGACAGATTTAACATATGCTGGACTATGTTAATTTACCTATTTGAGGCTCAATTGAATTTCCGTTGGGGCACATACCTGATGTTAGATAAACTTATTCCAGACATAAATGTTGTCTGCTTTTTGTTACAAAGATTTTTTTATATTTGCAGGCTGATAGGAAGACTGTTCCACAATGCTCTGGAAGAGTCTCGGCCAAAATCAGTTTTGTTTAATTCCCTTTCTGTATGCATCTCCTTGTTAGATCCAAAGAGGCTAACTTTTGGTACATACTATGCATACAATCGCCAATTTTCTCAAGGACCCTCAATAGCTGCTAATCATGAAACTGTTGATGGCATGCTTGGGAGTTTGGGTAAGATGATTTAGTTTTATGTTAAGCTCCTATTACTTATTGGTGATTCATTCATTGTTGGATTAAGTAGGCTTGATCTTCTGTGTTCATTGGATTGTATTTTTACAGTAGTTTAAAGCAATGTAAATTTTTCCCTAAATCTTTGTTGTAAGTGTATTGTTGGATCATTGTGTTTCTTAATAACAGATGCAAGAAAGTTAATAAAAAAAATTAACAGCCATCGCAAAATTTACGTGGTTCACTAACAATGAGTTAGCTATGTCTGCAGGCGAGAGAAGAGTTATATTGATCTCGAGGATAGTGTAGATGCTAGGTTAAACCCTAGGGAGTTTGTATAGTATTCTCAATTCAGAAAGCGTAATAATCTGAAAATAGGCCGAATAAATGAAAACTGTAGACCACGTAATAGATACCATAATAGGTTAAAGGAGGTTTCCTGATACCATAATAGCTAATAGGTCGGTCAAAGGGGCTACCTGATAGTTTTATTGTTACATTTGTTATCAGAAAGAAAGAAAGAAGAAAGGGTGGGGGGGGGGGGGTAAGTCTAAGAGAACAAAGATTGTTAGCTGAATCTATTTTTGAGCTGTTAATATATCTTATAATAATTATTGTTCCTGTGAAATACCTTTTTTTGGGGTTGGAGGGTGGGGGAAGGTGGTGGTAGTTTTAAAGAGAACATAAATGGTTAGCTCAGACTCTGTATTTAGCTGTTAAATATCTTGGAATAATCATTCTACACTGAAATAATTTCACATCTGTGTCACAGATTCAGTAATTTTCTGTGAGTGCTTTAGGTACCTGTTAAATTTCTTGTTTTTTTTTTTTTTTTTTTCTTTTTTTTTTGTATCGGAAAGGGTGATTAAAGATCTAGCAATTACTGATGTATTACCTGTTCATTAAAAAATTACTGATACAAAATATAATGATGTAGTACCTGTTCATTATATTACCCGTTCATTATAGTTTTATGTTAAGCTCATTTTCTTTTTTTGTAGCAGTAATTTTCTTTATTTCAGAAAATTAGACCATTATCTGATGTAAAGAATGAACATGTACTACACCATTATATTTTAATAACGGTCTAATTTTCTGAACTTAAGCCACAAAAAAGAATGGTAGATTTTTTTTAATATGGATTAGACGGACTATAGGGTATGGTATGTTTATTTAATATTACTTTTTTTTTTTTATTAATATAGATGAACAAAGGTATCCTTCCAGGATGATACTCTTTTCATACTCTCTTTTTCATTGTGAATTTTTGTGTATACTTTGTTGCCATTTGAAGTAATTTTTTCTAAATTTTTTTTTTTAAAAATCTCAGTATTTATTTTTCTATTTTTACAATAAATTTTTTTCATGATAAACAAATGTTCGCCTACTATTTCATTAATGCTGTTGGATTCATCGCAACTAGCAAATATGTGATGCCCCAATGAGATTTCTTTTGTTATGCAGGTAGTTTACTTAAGTTGTTGGATGTTTCATCAGACGATAGTTTCTTGCTTACTACGTATGGTAAATTGCAGCCACCACTAGGAAAACAGCGTTTGAAGGTATTTTATGTTGTGTAATTTCCTTTTTAATATCCAAAGCGTTGTGAAAGCATCACATCCTTAGTTCGCAATTTTATTTTTTTTTTTTTTTTTTTTTGTATGTTATCTTTAATTTACTGGATTTTTTTGACTAGATTGTTAATTTAAAAAAATGAAAATTAAAAACAAGTTTAATGGGTGCTTATGTTGTATTTGCTAGTTTTGATTTCTATTGTAGATGTCAAATGACTCATTTATCAATGAATTAATTTTACTTTTAAACAAAAGTGAAACATTTTAAAAATTCAGAAGAGGGAGAGGGGCTAATGTGACTGCAAAATAAGAGGGGGGGGGTACCACTTTAAATGTTTGTAGTACAGGCTGAACAGGAGAGAGAGCATGAAGAGCGGAAGAAAGTAGAATAGTAGATGGAAGTGAGAAGAAGAAGAAGAAGAAGAGACTGAACAGATTTAACCTAAAAGCCTTGAATGGTGACGATTGGTGCGAGACCTGGTGCTGATAACCACCGGGGATTTATTGCAGGCAACCTCTGTCATAGCAGTAATCACCAGTTTCTCAACTGCACCACAATCTGCAAATTAGGGTTTTAAAAAATTAGGGCAAACTAATTGGGACAAAATTGAAGTTAAACTATTCAATTAAATGAAGGCTTTGGATCGAATTTGCACATTTTAAATTGGGTATGGTGTAATTTGAAGAATTTTTGGTCTTTTTAAAAATATTTTACTCAGATCTCATCTTCTCTCACGTCTAAACTGGCGCTGCGCCTCATGATTTGGTATAGGCCCTCTTCGCTTTTTAAAACTAATATCACATCAGCACAATGCCCGGCAAGGCCAAGACGCTTTTTAAAACTTGAGGCGCTGGATTGCACAATGCCCGGCAAGGCCAAGACGTTCTGGCCTATGCGTTGGCTCTTTGCTTTTAAAAACTAATATCAAATCAGCAGAGTTGAACATGGATACATTTTAATACAAATCAGATATATAAGAAAGCTGGAAAAAGGGGTAGATTTGAAGTGCATGCTTCAGAAAATGATCTTGAAAAAGAGAGGGGGGGGGGGTGGTTGGGTGTGTCGTGTGTAGGAGTCAACTAGTGGTGGATTGGTGGGTTTTGTTGATATTTTTATTTTTATTTTTGTTCTTTTATACATTAGTTTGGATATAAAGAAGGAAGAGCAAGAGGGCACAGCTTTAAGGCTGCGGGCTGCGGGCTGCCTCCTGTAGTAGCGTACTCTCCCTTTTTAAAAAAATTATAGTTTCTTATTCTAAATTGTGTTGGGAGGGGTGTTGTGGAGATGGGGGCAAAAGCACAGCTAAATTAATGCTACATTCTGATGATGAATGCTTGTCTGAGTCTCATGGATACCTTTTTTTTCCTTGTTATATTTTGACTAATAACGGGGACTCCGAATGATCCAGTTTCTTAGATAGGGCTGGAATTGACAATCTTGGTGATGTAATAGAGTGATTGATTGGCGAAGGAAAAAGTGATTGATATTGATTCGTAATGTGGTAAATCACAAGAGACTAAAATTTGTAACTTAAAACAAAAATTGTTGGAAACGTTATCATTTTCCCGTACCTTAAAATTAAATCTTTGGGTTTTATGTTTATAAATGGCTGGAACTGTTTTGACTTACTCCCTCCGTCCCATAATACTTGGGATGTTTGGGGTGGACACGTAGTTTAAGAAAACTACAAGTGGATCCATTAAAAACATTTGTTTTTTATATAAAAGATTCTCTTTTGTATTTTTATATCAATCAATCAATCAAAGCCTTAATCCCATAAGTGGGGTCGGCTAACATTCTCTTTTGTATTTTTATATTGTAAGAAAAGAACAAGTGGGGTGGAAGTGGGGTAGGTGAGGAGAGAGAAAATGTGGGAAAATATTTATTTTTATTAGTGGTCCCATTCCATATTTAGTTACATGTCAAGTATTGTAGGACAGACAAAAATGAACTGTGTCGAGTATTATGGGACAGGGAGTATTTTAACTCATTCTAAAAATAATACGGAAGCATTTTCCGGTGTCTTCCGATATGACGATGCATCTCCCTCTGTATTTTTTTTTATTTTATTTTTGTAACTCATAAGTTCTGTGGGTTTGTTTTATTTTTATTTTTATTTTTTTATGAACTTAAGAGGAACATTTAACACTACCACAATTTCTGAATGATGTTTAAACTTTCCATTTTGGTTTGTTACGAATATTTACTATGCTTTCTCTTTATTCCATTTTTGGCAAACATTTTTTTTTTCTATTACATTATTCCTCTTTCCCCACCATATTTTCACTGTCTCACTCTTCTTACTTCATATACCTTTTTCTTACACCAGTGGTTTTTTTTCAATCTCTATTTTACCATAGCCACCTTTTTATAACTTCTACCCACCAACTCCCTATTTTCTTAAAATTTGTGCAAATATTAAATGTTAAGATCAATAATAAACAGAGTTAATAGGTTTTATTTGAAATTTTTGTTGGGTGGGATTCTGAAGAATGTCAAAAAGAGTAATAGCTTGAAGAAGGTAGCTTATGTATTTTAAATGTCCATGTAAAGAAATTAATTAAGTTGACCTACGGATAAGGGGTCTGATAGAAGCAAAGTATTACGTAAAGGTTCAAATACTCTTGTAACTCTATGAGTACATATGGACTTGTGTTTTGAGTTTAAGCTAATGATGAGCCCAACACTGATATTTTTATCAATGAATTATTAAATCAATTTTTAAGTAACAATGCATGCTTATGCATGATGTTGCCTTTTATTTTTATCTGATGTTTATCATCTATATCTTTTACTTATGTATTTTTTGTTGTTTCTAGATCATTGAATTCATTTTAGTCTTACTCTCAAGTGGAAATGAAGCTGCTGAAAAGGAAGTCATTCGACTTGGTGCAGTGAAAAGAATCTTAGATATGTTTTTCGAGTAAGTTGGATTTGATATGGTAATATATGGAATTAATTTGCTTCAGAAAATCATATATTTGCATGCGCTGCAGGTACCCTTACAATAATTTTTTGCATCATCATGTGGAAAACGTTATTCTGTCTTGCTTTGAGAGCAAAAGTTCTATCCTTGTCGAGCATCTACTAAATGATTGTGATCTTGTTGGAAAGACATTGGAAGCTGAAAAAAGTCCTTTGTTATCAAGTGATTCAAGCAAGGTGATTGACAATTGATAAGTTGCATTTGTATCCCTTTATGAGTAATTTACTAAAGCACTGACGTGTTTTGCGAATTTTCTAGCAGCCCACAGTGTGTATGGATGGAAGAGACCCTCCTAGAGTGGGAAATATTGGTCACCTGACTCGCATATCTAACAAACTTGTCCATCTTAGTAACACGAACTCTGACATTCAGGCCTTTTTTCAGGTCTGTATTTTAGCTACTGATTTCCTTGACCTACGCAAAGGACTACTTTTGTGCTCTTATATGATTTTTTTTTATTTTATTTATTTTTTACTTGTGCATCAATCATAAGTTCTATTTTGCTGAATTATCTCTTAATATTATTTCCAGAAGTTCAATTAAGCAGCCAAAGGTCCTAGGATTCAAGGGAAACATACTTTATAAATCTGTATGCTTTTTCACTTATGGAGACTAGGATATATATAGCTTAGAGAATATTTTCTGTATACAACAACTTCTGTCTGAGATTTCAGATTGTTGATGGTTAAACAACCTTTTCTGGTCCCTATGAAATATTTTCTTTGTTCTCAACATCTTTTTAATTCTTGCTTGTCATTTTACATTTGCTTACATATGCATGTGTCATCCGAATGTACATATGTGGAAAGATGTGTTCAAGAAAACATTTTATTGGTTTGGCCTGTTTACAATGGATATTTTGTGATTTATAAGCTAGCCTTCAGGCTTTGAATACTTTATATAGCATATTGGCTGAACCATCTCTGCGTTATGTTTATAGTGGGTAAGGATGATTTGAATTATTTGCTAGGGTGATGTGGTAGAATTTAGAACATTTACAAAGCCTTATCCTAGGTTTTGATTTACTTGGGTCTCTAGTGATTTTGATCTTGAGTGATCTACTTGAGTTATGATTTTCTGATACATATTGTTGTTTTCTTTTAACAATGTAGGATAATACTGAATGGCTTGACTGGTGTTCAAATGTCTTATCTAAGCGCAATGCTGTGGAAAATGTTTATCAATGGGTCTGCGGGTAGGCCTGTCTTGATTTTTCTTTGCTTGTGAAAAAAGTTTATTTTTATAGTTACAACCCTGATTGCTGGATGTTGTCAGAAAGAGTTTGTGATTACTGACTTTGTTCATTGACTTTTTTTAAAATTAGTGCAGGTAGCTTGTTTATTTTGTACCAGATCCTTTCTATGTTTCATTTTGTTGGTACTTTAGTGTATATAACTCCACCTACACACACACAGACACAATGGAAATTTACCATCTGTACTACCTCCAATTAAACATGCCTTTGTATATGTCTTAAGAAGTATTAGATATCCCTTGCATTATAATGTATGTGGCTGTTCTGGTTGAGATATTAGTAGGGCTGCTCCAATAACAGACCTGGATAAACAGAACGGTAGTCAATTACCCCACCTAAACCAGAAATGTACCCAAAATTTTATTCCACATTTTAGGCCTGAACTAAACTTGACCCAAATTGATCCAAAAATGTTGTGACTAATATTAAATTGATTATTATAAAATTATTGACAATGGACTTTATATGGCCTGATTTGAAAAATCAATTTGATCTGACTACCCTAGCCTATTCTAAGTACTTAGGGAGTCTTTCATGTCACTCCTTGTCCCCTAAACAATACTTTTGTTATGACTAATTTCTTTTCCATGTAACAGGAGACCAACTGCTCTACAAGATCGCACCAGGGATAGTGATGATGATGATTACCAGGATAGAGACTATGATGTTGCAGCTCTTGCTAACAATTTAAGCCAGGCCTTCCACTATGGCATATATAGTAATGAATTAGAAGAGGTGGGTTGCTAAATTATACTGCTGAATGGTCTTTTGTTCTCTTCTAATTACTTTCATTTTTTGTTTTTTCCCTGTCTTCTTTTTTTTTTTTTTTTTTTTTTTTTTTTTTTTTTTTTTTTGTTGGCTAAATTATAAGCTTCTCATTTCTTGCACTTCCTCCATTTTTTTGTTTTTTTGAACTGTTACACTTGCCAAATGCAAACATTTTTTTTAAGTATTATACATCCATTTGGGCAAACAACTACATTTGAATATTATATCTCTCCTCGTATGATCCCCACTCACACCCATTACTATTTTTTATTATTATTATTATTATTTCTTTCCCACACATCCCTTACTTTTCAATTATTAATTCACTATCTTTTTCTATAATTTTTTAATACCCCAACTAGCTCTTATTATATAAAAGCAAATTAAAACTGTCTAAATCTATGTGCTGGTCAAAGTAACACTTAAAAAAACGGAGGGAGTATCTTGTATTCCTTTCACCTTTCTTTCAAGGCGCATGCCCCCGTTCCCTTTCCAACCTCATGTCCCGCTAGATTCTAGAAGTACGAGCATGTGAAGTTTTTTGGTATTGGATTGTGGGCCCGTGAAAGTAATGTCATCTTATTCGTCCTTTAGCAGCTATATGGAATCAATAATCTTCTAAATTAATTTGTTTTTTTTTATTTTTTATTTTTTATGTTTTTCATTCTTGCTATGTTTTCTCACATAAAGTGTATGATTTTCAACGAGAACCACTTGATTCTTGTGGGGACTCCCAAATCGCTACCCCAACCTAGAGCCGGTTATTGGGCGGGTCGGTATGGGTTATTAGTGGGGCTGGTTCTTAGTTTTAAAAAGAGCGCCTAGGCGACAGGCGAAGCGAGGCACAGGTCAAAACGCCTTGGGCTTCCCAGGCGCAGCGCATTCCAGAAGGCGCGCGCCTCAGACTGCCTCCACCTAGGCACAAGGCGCAGCGCCTCAACCGCCTTATGTTCAAAAGCATGGGAATAGGGATCTGGATTAATTTTTGTTAAAAAAAAACTTTTTTTTTTCATATTGACACTTACCCAGTCTGTAAAAAAGAGATTTATTGATTAATAAGGGTCTCTTACGGGCTAGAAAAATATAGCAATTTGTTAAGATTGTAATCTAAAATTCTGCTTAACAATTTGGATATTGTTTATACTCCATCCTTTGTTTTTTTTAAACAATCAGATTAATAATATTTGTAAAAAGGGATGTGAGAGTATATAACCACATATAAGCAGAAATAAGAATGAAAAAACCCACTACATTAATTTTAGAAGATAACATCTAGTAATTGGTTTGATCTTTTGAGAAGTAAGCAAATAAGGGAGAGGATGGTAATCTTAGAAATCTTTATTAAGTCAAGAGCAATGAGCTATATGGGGTGGGGAGGCCTGAAAAGGGGTGGAGGAGTGGAGAGGAGACCCTCTCCACTCCTCTAAGATAATTGTGCTGCCAAATAAAAACCCTATAATGACCCTTCTATGACAAAGCCCTTTATCCAGTCATGTAAGAACTAAAAGCGTCAAAACCTTTTAAATATTTCCCAAATTGGGCAACCTATCCAACATCCACCTTTCCCCCACCGCCCAGTTGCCAAAGAAAAGAAGAAAAAGGAACTAGAAACTTTATTCTCCTAGATAATTTTTTAATTTTCTTTATATGAAATTATGTCTTGCTTGAGTTTGATATTATTCAGTTATTCCATTTAATTTCTTTTTTTCAACTCTGTGAACTGTAGATGAATCTTTTTTCTTGATTTGTGCAGGTTCAAGCATCACTTGAACGAGATGAGGAGGTATGCTTTTCTATTGGCTTCTGATGCTTTAATTTGTGTCAATGTACATCTTACTTTGTGAAAGAGCTTTAGTAGTAGCATACTTAGTGCCCTTGGCATATTCTATTGATTTATTCCTGCGTAGTTTCATGTGCTACTCTGAAATCGAGTTTGCTTGATAATTCATATTTTAGATTGATAGAAAACTTAAAGCATATTCTCTTACCATCATTTAGCGATTATTATGGTCTAGTCAGAGCATCTACAAGGGTTAATGTTTTTCTTCGGCTGTCGAGTTACTGATTTCTTAGCTATTATAATATTGGAAACTTTTTGCATCTATTCCCGCACCCCAAACTGTTTGATGGTTATTATATAACTTGTAATGTTTTGGTTTGTGTCTTGGATCCATTTTGAAATTAAAGAAGTTAGAATAGAAAAGTAGAATACACAGAATTGTGCTTATCTAATAACAGTTCTCCCAGCGGAATCAACAGTATCAATATGAAGTGTAAAGTAGTTATAAATCTTATAATAATTGAATTTGTTGGCTGAATATCTTCAGTGAAATGGAAGCGTAAAAACATGTTTTCTTTGGCACCGGTACACTTCCATTTCACTGAATATCTTCAGTGAAATGGAAGCGTAAAAACATGTTTTCTGCATGGGTTATTTGTAGATCTGATTGGTAATTTCCATGGATTATTTTGCAATATTGATTTTTGCTGATGAACGAATTGCGATTTTCACTGCTGCGTTTGCTAGGATGTTTACTTTGATGATGAATCCGCTGAAGTGGTTATATCCTCATTGCGTCTTGGAGATGACCAAGAGAGGTTTGTTATCTAACATTTTTTTTCCAATTGAATTTTTAGCCATTTTGATGTGGTCTTCTGTGTAAGAAATACATATTGCTTTGTATCTGTGATGTATTGATGGCTGTAGTTACAGCATTTGTGCATGTTGCTTGCAGTTCCAAATTTTAGTAGCTTTTGCACAATATGCTGTTTGTGCCAATGCTTGGCTTGATGTTTTTGCTGGAATGATTTGTATATTTTGTAAGAGCTGTTGTCAGTGATTGGCATTGTATTGTCTTGTGTTGGGGTTCTTAGGTTTGGATGATTGATTTATGGTGGTCATATATCATGTCAAGTTATCATTTGACTGACTGCTTGTAATTATTTGCTTGTGAGCAGTGGATCGCTGTTCACTAATTCTAATTGGTTTGCTTTTGAGGATGACCGCGTTAACAATGAGCGTTTGACTGATACACTTGCCTCTCCATCACCTGCTGATGAGGAACCTGGTGCTGTTAGTAGAAGTAGTGATGACTTGGACGCCAATGATGACATGGATACTGCGACTTCACAAGTGCCTGAAGTAGAATCCATAACTAATGAGCCTATTGCTCTTCCTGCTAAGGAGGAAGTGGGACGGGGTGCTACAAGTGAGCAAAATGATTGGGTTGAATGGAGGGAAACATCTAATTCGAGTGATTTATCTGATGAAGCAGATAAACAAGAAGAAATACCAAAAAACTTTGAGGAATTAGGGAACAAGGTTGAGGAGGATTGCCCAAGTGCACCTGAGCTGTCATCCTCGACAGTTGATGGTTTAGAGAGTAATGGTGTTACCCAGGATGTAGGTGTGCAACAATTGTCGGGCGAAACTGGTGTGGCTGAAAATATAGGTGAACCATTATCCAGCTCAAGCTCAAATTCTTCCCAGGATGAAGTTAAGCTGCCTGAAGCAGAACAGATTTCAAACCCTGACGGGCATGAGGAACCTGGTTTGGCTCAAGCAGGAAACTAGCTGTACATTAGAAAAACTACAGAATCAGCGCAAACAGGATAAACTCTTCCTTCCTGTCCACTAGTCAAATTTTCCTTTCGATAAATGTCTCTTTGTAATTCTTAGCTTATTTTCTGTACATCGTAGTTGGTTTAAAATTCTTAAGTAGAATGATTCTTTTTGAGAAAACTCAGGCGACTCGTCTTCTTCTCACTGTAACGTAGAAAATGGAAGGGCTAATTTTTCATATTTTATTTTTGTACCGTAGCAAATGATAAAGAAGTCATTCTTTCCAGAGCATTTGTACTAAACTTTAAGGTTCTGATGGAGCTGGTCGTGAACTAGATGATACTTCGTAGTAATAGCGCACCTTATTTGGGCTGTGTATTAAGCTAAATTTTTTATTATTTGACCATTTCGAGCTTGTATTATTTTTTGACTATTTTGGTATGCGTTTAGCGAGTTGAGTATGTTAACTTTGCAAAATTTTAGTTACACACTTGTGCAACTAAGCTAGTTGCACCAGCCATATATATGAATATATAGTACTACCTCCGTTTCATATTATTTGCAGCGATTAGACATTTTTCCTCTTTATTTTATGTCAAATCGTTGCAAATAATATGAAATCGAGGTAGTATTTAAAAAATAAACATACATTTTTTTTTTTCTCTTCCTCACATCTTAACTCTCACCAAGCTAAGCTTGGTTTAGTGGAAAGGGTTGTACTTTCCAACCTTGAGGTTGGGGGTTCAATCCTCACTAGAGGCACTTTAGGGTGGGGATTCCATTACCCTTCCCCGCCACTCCCAAAGTGCCTAGTCCTCTAATCCGGGCGGGGAGGACTTGTGAGAGGTTTCAGCCCGGTAAGGACCCTTCTCCGTACTAACTAAAAAAAATAATCTTAACTCTCTTTTTTCTTTCTTATCTCTATTAATTTTCTCTTTCCTTTGTTTTCTTTTCAATTCGAAATTCTCTCTTTTTTCTTTCTTTCTAATCTCACTCCTTCAATCTTTAAATATCTTTGTTCTACTACTTCGTATATTCTCCAATTCGTCACCATTGTAGTGTTTTCTATCGTCATCATTTTCGTCACAATTGTGAAATTTGAAGTAATTTTGAGGGGTTTTTTTTTTTTTTTTTTTTTTTTTTTTTTTTTTTTTTTTTTTTTGGTCTCTAAATATGTGAATGTTATATAATATTGTTGAATTTAAATTTTGCGTTGCACAAACCTCCAATAAGGCAAGTGTATATTAATTCATTGTAAAACGGGTTAAAGTTGTCTTAAAAGTACTTAGGGCCGTTAGGGGGCATTTGGTTCAGATAATGAAAATGAAATGGAAAGGAAACAAATAAGAGGGGGTTTAACCTTTGTTTGTGTTTGAGGAGGGTAAAGGTTTTTGTTATCCTAAGTTTTTGAGAGGTAACAAATGAGAGGTAACCATTACCCTTAGTTAATGATAATGATCATCCAACCATCTAACCAAACACTCGATAACAGAAACGGTTTAATTGAATCCGTTTCCAATCCAAAAAATACACTAACCAAACATGTTATTAAAGTTACCCTTTATACTACAAAAGTTATTATTTTCCTAACAATAAATTTTATCTTACAAAAAACTTATAATGTATTAGATTAATCATATTAGCTTTTATAGTATGTAATTATGAATCTATAAGAAATTACACATTATAATAAAATTCAAACCAACGACAAATTAAAAGTTACCCTTTAAGAGGTTAAAATTACCATAAAAATAGTTAAAGTTACCCTCAAACTGACCGTCTTACATTAAAATTTACGTATACCCGCCTTTACAAGACGCATTGTTTGCATTGTGATTCCTAATCTATTATGTTATAAATCGATAATTATTGTCTATGTGATGAATGAAGATTAGATTTAAGGTGGATATTTAAATTTTTCAAGTTAAAATAATAACAATCGAACTTGTATATAATTTCAGTAAAAAAAAAAAAAAAAAAAAAAGAATTTATACTTAATACTTTAAAATTGAACATTTTGTATAAACATTTTGTACACTAAAATGAACATATTTCACGATATATTTTATCTTTATATTTTTATAAATAATTATACACAATATAATGAATTTTGAACCTATATGAATATATAAATATTATGTTCATTTTTAATTGGAAAAATTAATAAGAATAATTCAAACTATTGTTCTTTTTCTCATTTTAATCCCATTTATAGTTTAACCTAGAATAATCCCAACTATTAGGTGACTCTTTTTAAAATAGTCTACTTTATCAATTACCCCCTGCCATCTCCTTAACAGCTTTCAAGAATGATATCAAAAGGAATCTCCAATTCTCCATTGTTATTAGAAGCTGATCGGAGAATTTTTGCCTTGTTTTACTTTAATGAACTTGGAAGTGCTGAAATTATTTAATTTATGCTACCTCTTTAACCAAAAAAAAAAAAAAAATGAACTTGGAAGTGTTGGTTTTGTTTTGCTATGGGGCCTCCTGGCTTTAATCATTGGCTGACTTTTACTGTTTTAGGTGGATTCAACTACTTTGGATCCCCTTTTTAGTACTTAAGATTTTAATTCATTATAATTACAGTCATTGGTGATATGTTGTATTGTTGTTGCTGCCATTCGTAGGTGTTTCGGTGGCTAGGCATGGATAAAAGGGTGGTTTTCAGTAGATAAGCTTGGCTAGAATGTGATTTTGGAAGTCGTGGGAAGGTGGTTTCGGTGGCTAAGAGGGCGGTTAGGGTTTGACGTTCGGTGGCTGGAAATTGAAGAGGTTAAGAGGGTGGTCGTCTAGTCGAGGTGGGCAGTAATTCAGATTTTAGAGATGAAAAGGGATACTAAATCACGTCCGGTATTTACCGAGTAATGCCCGTATTTTAAAATAAACATACTAATATACCCCTCCCTTAAATAACCCATCAAAACTTTTTTTTTTTTTTACTTTTACCTTTCTCTCTCTTCACCCTTTTCACCTACCTTTCTCTTTCACCCAAATTCAACCACCAAGAAAACTTTTTTTTAATCATGGCGTCGACGCTACAAGGGAGGCGCAAATGTCGGGAAATCGCAAAGACAAGGGAGTCGTCACCGGCGAGCAGGTGAGTCGACTTTTTATTTTTTTATTTTTATTTTCCGTCGATTTTGAGGAACGCCTGGAGGAGATCTCCAGGCTACGAACGCCCGAAAGTTTCGGATCTTCGGGGATTCATTCGAAAATCCCAAGCAAACCACGAACGCCTGGAATTTTCGAATGAACCCCCGGAGATCCGAAATTTCAGGGCGTTCGTAGCCTGTAGATCAGGCGTTCCTGTTTTATTTTTATTTTTTTATATTATTCTTAATTTAAATGTACTGTTTTTCTTGATGTTGTTGTTGTAAATGTTGTTGTTGTTATTATTATTATTATTATTATTATTATTATTATTATTATTATTATTATTATTATTATTATTATTATTATTATTATTATTATTATTATTATTATTATTAATCTTGATTGTTTTTTATTTGATGTTATAAATTGTAGTTGTTATAATTTAATATGGTTCATGGAATTTAAAGTAAGTTGTTTTAGTTATTATTTTTATTTAACTCAAGACATTCAGATTTATCGTGAAAGTTTTGAGAGTTCAATTTTCAATTGCCTGCTTATTTATCATGAATGCTCTGTTATGCAAGTTGGGTTTTAGTAGTTATGAAACCTTAATTATAAGCTAATTTAAGAACTAGAGTAAACATAATTTAATAAGAGAGTATCCAAACCTTAGATACTTTAAGCCCCCACACATAAACATATTGAAGTGGTCAGACAATGATGAAAGTTTGTTGGCCTAAACTATAAACATGTGACATGCGACATATTATATATATTTGGTGGTAAATTTTTATTTATTTATTTTTATTTTACTGTTTTTTGTTTCCTTTTTATCCCCCCCCCCCCCCGTTTTTTTTGCCTTTTTGTTTCTTTCTCTAATCTAATAAATTGATTGATTGAAATTTAGTTGTTAAGAGAGGGTAGTTTGATCCAATGAAATTATTATTGTTGTTGTTGTTATACATATTAATTTGAACTAAAGTTAGACTTATTTTAATTTTCTTTTGAAAAAAAAAATAAGATTGAGGGTTCGGGAACACGACACGCTTTATCACGACGCTTGAACGCCTCGGTTAGGAGGGAGAGAGATTGTAATCGTCTTTAGCCTCGTACCGAGACGACACCAGTCCCCGATGGTTGCATGGCGAGTTCGACATCCGAGGCACAGGATCATCATTCGGGGTCTCAGGGGATTTTGTCGGGTTTCGAGTCTGAGCATGAGGAGACTTAGTCACCGGGCCTCGAGTACTGGTACAGAGGAGGACAGGGTTTATCAGGCGATGACGACGATGACGAGGAGGAGCCTGATGACATTGTTCATACGTATAGGGGTGCCGGTGGGATATTTGTTAGTACTCAGGAGACTGGTCGTAGTCGGACTTCGATACAGGATAGCTGGTTAGTGTCTACGCCGATGGCCGGCGGTCCAAAGGATGGAATCGTCATTCCTAGCTATGGTGGTCATGTCGCAGCTGCAATTTGGGGTGGTGTGGAGCGAGGTGTTTTGAGATGTATGAGTAGGAGAAAGATGTGCACTACACTGGATCAGTTGCGACAATCATTATTACCAGAGACATTAGCCCCAATAGATCAGAGCGGCTATCACATCTTCTTGGTATTATGTATCAGCACCTTGACTGGCCTTTGATTTCAGCGTTCGTGGAGAGATGGCAGCCAGATACTAACATTTTTCATTTGTCGTTCGGTGAGATGATGATCATGTTACATGGCGTGTATCATATCCTTGAAATCTCTATAGATGGTACTATGGTTTTTACTGTTATGGACCCCCTACAGTTACGGTAGTATTGGTCATTCATGATGGATTTGCCTGTTGAGGAGTTATGTAAACCCACTTACGCGCCTAGTATTGGTACTATGGTTTTTACTGGCGCGTTCTTCGAGGGTCCTCGAGACGACCTTCAATGTTGAGAGGCCCCCTGAGATTTCCGTGGTGGCATTTATGTGGGTTTTACTGGGTTCATCACTCTTTGTGGACAAGAGTGGTAACATACTTCATCCCTCCCTCATCCATGAGCTTCAGCTTGTCAATGGTACATTTGTCACTAGTTCCTACTCATGGGGCTTTGTTACTTTAGCGTTTTTGTACCATCAGTTGGGGCAAGCCTCGCGGGCAGATTGTGATTCCATCTCTGGTTGTCTCATGCTTCTTCAAGAGTGGATTTATGAGTATTTTCCATGCTTTCGCCCTCAGCAGGGCACTCTGACCAGGGACCCTGGACGTGTGCGTGCATTGCTATGGGATGTTGGTTCGCCATCGAAGACCTCAGATCGGCTTTTTGCTTTCCGTGCTTGACTTGACGTGTTGACTGACATTGAGGTAAATATGAAATTCATTAATTTATTGTGTTTCGTATCGCCTTACTCTTATGTGACTAATATATTGTTTGATTATGCAGGTTAACTGGCTGCCTTACGGACCTGACCCAGCCAGTGTTGTTTCTACGACTTTGTTCTTGGGATTTATACGGTACCGCAACATCATCGAGCCATACATGCCCGATCGAGTTGTCAGACAACTTGGGTTCGTATAGGGTATACCTAGGTACCCCATTAGGCTTAAGAAGGCCAAGAGACCGAAGAAGGTCAAGATGTATAGTGTTGAGTTCCCGGCTAAGACGTCCGTACACATGTGGGAGAGATTTATTCCATTTGCTGCGTATTGTCTACCAATGGCTCGCTACACTAGACTCAGTCGCGGCAGTCCTACATACACGGACGATTACATTCCATGGTTGGTGAGATACTCTCACCCTCGTGTATTACCCCCTGACGTACCTCTGGTCAGCGGTCTCCCCAAGAGGACCAACACTGATTATGTAAGTATATTTTCCTTTAGTTTTGTATTTATTATCTGGAAATTTTATTGATTTTTTAACATTCTATAATGTTTGCAGTGGGTTGGTCGCTTCGTTGAGTTCACATAGCGTGCACTTGCCGAGTCGCATGGGCCCATGTCCCGTGAAACTAAGGCCATGGCTGCACAGGCCCTTCGTGATTGGGATGCTATGCGAGGGTTATGATTTGTGTTTAGCTAGACACCTTTATTCTTAGTTGAACACTTTAATTATTGGTCTGACACTTTTATTATTTTGTTTTTGTAATTGTAATGGGACACTTTTATTATTCGTATGGACATGAGCACTTTGATTTAAATTATTGCAATTGTTACTTGTGTATTTTTTTTTTCTTATGGCATTTTTACTACTACTACTAATAATAATAATAATAATAATAATAATAATAATAATAATAATAATAATAATAATAATAATAATAATAATAATAATAATAATAATTATAATAATAATAATAAAAAAAAAACAAAGTTCAAACATCATTATTTAAGTTTTGAACAACGCATTACATCCATCATGACGCAACTAATCTCTCTTACAAACTAATTCTACGCTTGTATCGTTGATCCCATCCAATAATGCTAGGTTCACGAGTCAGGTACCAAACATCTGCAATTGGGGGAATTGGATGGTCTTGATCAAGCTGTAAAAGAATAAAATGCGACCCACCCAAAGTACCTATAACAAACTCTCAAGCTAGTGCAGTAGCATTATCAGGGGCCCGCAACAGTAACACAGTGAGACAAGGATAGAAGTTCGTCGGTGTCAATTTAATGCCATAACAAATCTCAGTTGCATTGTAAAAGGTAGCAATTACATAAAAATCCTGAAAGGCTACCATCCAATGTCCTTCCCCACATGGGCCACCGCTCCAACAAATACGTTGTATCTCAAAATCCAAACCACCTGGGTCGTAATAAATCCTCTTGTATAAGTGTGGATAACCGGTGATCTCATTAGCATGAATTGTCAAGCTAATCTCCATTGCTCTTGATCACCCATGAAGAAGGCGGCAACACAACGAAAGTCGCAATTACCATCACCAATGACATCATTCCACCAGGTTATGTAAGGCAATATAAGTCCGGGGAGCAAGTGAGCGTACCTACATTGTTCGATGTTGAATCCATTTCCTCCTAAAAAAATACACATTCGTAATTGGTAGAAAATAAATCATCAATTAATAGATATGTATGTTATAAAAAAAATTATTACAAAATAATAAAACATACCGGATTCAGTTTGACGGTTTTGCCTTGAACCATGTTGACTCGACCTTCTCCCTCCACGACCGCTACTGTTACGCTCAACATTCTCGAAATGGCTACTGATTAGGGTAAAAATTACCCCTGCCACGTGGTCCAATGAGGGCATGACACGTGTCACCCTCTTACAGGCTCAAGGGGATCCACTCCAAGGATGCTACGTGGCACTGAACCCCCAATGGGGGAGCAGATTCTCATCTGCTATAAATAGAGGAATCCTCCTCATTTATTGGTATTCACAAATATTCATAAATACATACACAAATCCTTAGCTATTTATTGCGGAATCTCTCTGAATCAGAGATAAACAACCGTTTTTACTTTCTGCACGCTTACTCATCCGAAATCATTCTAACTTGATCTTCGGAAGCGGAACTCCACCCAACCGAAGTTTCGTGGTTTTGCAGGTACAGGAGGCAGGCGCTCATATCCAGAATTGTAACTCTCCCGAGGGACCAAAAACACCTGAAACATTTGGCGTCGTCTGTGGGGAGAGTACTACTGAGATGGCATCTGATGCTGTACCGAATGCAGAGGGTAGCCGGCCTACGGTTGACCCTGAGGCCCATACGGACCATGAAAGTGGCAGTGGTGACGACTATGATGTCGACACATATATGGCCCAAGACGGGTCATTTCGTTCAAGACGCACCCGTTCCAAAGAAAAGAAGGAACGGGGCCAAGACAAAGCTTGTCCCCGCAACCCAGGAGGCAAGCACCCAGAACAACCCCAGGCGGCGGAGAGTCTGCCCCCGTCACTAGAGACGAGCTCATGAATCTCATGACTAGTTTCAAGGGGGAAATCAAAGATATAAGCAAGAAGTCAGCTGGCTCAAGCAAGGGTCAGTCGGCAAAGAAGCCTTCTCCCTCCGAGAAGAAGCAAATTAAAGACCGGGTGCCAACTCACACCCCAAACCCAAGGGGACAGATGGACCCCTGATCGACCTCTCAAAACTTCGTTTCCTTGAATCAGGGCAAAGGAAGGTCATCCGGCATACACAGCCGGATGCGTCAAAGAAGACTTTCTCTAACGCCCGGATGTTCATCCAGGAGAAGAGAAGTCAAAGCATGTCTCAGTCGGCTTCAACGTTGACCTACTCAGACAGTTTCCGAAATGCTTCAATGAAGCATTCGGAGACGCAGCAAGGGAGTCAGTCACGCAGCGTGTCCGCACGTACTGGCCCTCACGTGATCCAGCAGGCTCCGTATGTGCCCCAACAGCAATACGCCCCGTACGGATCTCCATTCATGCAGTCGGCTCCTTTTGGGGGTCAGGCGGCATACCAAGTCCAGCCTATGGATTGGCAGCTTCGGCTGCTAAACCTTAAGGAACAGCCTTCGGCTTTCTCCCGGGAAATAACCGAGGCAGCACAACCGGCCAAGGTTAAAAATGTGTTGGTTGGTGCCTACGACGTACCTCCAACCCAGAAGACCACCTAATGGCATACACCAACCTCATGTACCTATAGGGGTTGGATGATGCCGCATGGTGCAGATGCTTCCCGACTACATTGAAGGGCATAGCCCAGTGATGGTTTGACAACTTGTCGGCTGGGTGCATCAATAACTTTAAGACGCTTGCATACCTGTTCACGTCCAACTTCTTCATGAACATCCCTGCCAAAAAGACAAGTCTCGACTTAGGGGCTATCCAGCAAGGTGACAAGGAGGGACTTCGGTCCTATGTCAGGCGGTTCAATCTGATGAGAATTCAGATTCAGGGGCTGTCTGGCGAAGTTGCATATACAGACTTCTTCAAGGGTCTGAAGGATGGGTCAACTTTCAAATTTGACCTTGTCTTAAAGAGGGTAGCCACCCTCCAAGAGGCGCTGATGGAGGCGGAGGCCTATATACAGGCAACTGATCTCTACGCCATCAAGCATCCATCCGAGCCCAAGCGGTCTGACAGGAGAGACAGTCGACCAGCCCAGCCGGCCAAAAAAGAAGAAAAGAAAAGAAAAGAAGTCTAGGCAGCAGACCGCCCAGGTCAGCCGTCCCTGAAGAAGCAAAGGAAGTTGGTACCGTACGTCCCCAAGTACGAGTTCAACAAACACTGCTCCTCTATTTTCATAGATATAAAAGACCGGATGACAATTGAAAAACCGGCTGCAATGAAAAGCTCTGTCAAGAACAGAGACAAAAGCAAGTACTGTTAGTTCCATGAGGACGTTGGCCATGACACCAATGGTTGTTATAGCCTCAGGCAACTATTGGACCGTCTGGCTGATGAGGGGACTCTGAAGTCCTATCTGGTAAAATCCAATGGCAACCCCAAATCAAGTGGTGGACAACCGTCCAAGATGCTGATTGCTAGCTTTGAAACCGATGAAGAGCACATCTTCACTATAGCAGGCGGCTTCGCAAGCAGAGGTCCTACCATCCGGGGTGCCAAGGATAACATCCGAAAATTATCCAACCCAGAAGACGAGGGCCAGGCGTCGAAAGACACCTTCCCTGAGGTCTTCATCTCTAATAAGGATAGGGGTATGGTCAGGCGGCCTCACGATGACCCCATTGTCATCGAATGCAAAGTTGCCAATCAACGAGTTGACCGGATCTTAATCGATATCGGGAGCTCGTCTGACCTGATCAGCTACCAGTGCTTGACAAAGCTCAAGTACAAACCTAGCAGTATGCAATAGGCTCCCCACCATCTAGTCGGCTTTGGGGGAGGAGTGGTGCATCCGGTGGGAAGGATTGACCTACCCATCCGGCTAGGGGAAAAGGGGGAAGGGCGGCACATGGTCGTCAGATTTTTAGTGGTCGAGGAATTGACCGCCTATAATCTCATATTAGGATGACCTACCCTCAACGAGTCCAAGGCAGTCATCATCCCCTCTCTTATGCTGATCAAGTTTGAAAGGGATGACGGATTAGTGGGTGCCCTGAGCGGGGACCAAAAGACGGCTAGGGAGTGCTATCTCTCAGACGTCAGGCCAACTGCAACTGCAATTGCAGCCGGTCATAACGAGGGACTCACTGACCATGATGACAAGGAAGCCGTGCCTGCTCCCAAGGCAGCTGACAAAAAGCGAAAGGCGGACCAATTGGCCCCCGCTGGAAAAAAAAATAGCAATCACTGACCGGGGAAAGGCCAGATGACTCCCGACCCCAGCCGGCTGGTGAAAGCATTGATGTCGTCCTGGACGACAGCCGCCCTGACAGAACCGTCAAAGTTGGGACCTGCTCCAACTTCTGAGAGAGTTCAAAGACATTTTTGCCTTTGAAGTGGAGGAGATGCCTGGCGTCAGCCCGGATCTAGCCGTCCACAAGTTAGCCGTTGATCCCAAAATAAGGCCGGTTAGGCAAAAGAAGAGGGATCATGGCGAGGAGAGGTCTCAGGCGGCAGCCGCTGAGGTAAAAAAGCTCTTGATGCCGGGTTCATTCGGCAATGCTACTACCCGGATTGGGTAGCAAATGTTGTCCTTGTCAAGAAGCCGAATGGTACTTGGCGGATGTGTGTAGATTACACAGATCTGAACAAGGCATGTCCGAAGGATTGCTACCCACTTCCTAAGATCGACAGCCTGGTCGACTCCACAGCCGGCCATGCCTTGATGAGCTTTATGGATGCCTACTCAGGCTTCCATCAGATCCCCCTATGGAAGAAAGATCAAGAGAAGACGACATTCATCACTGATCAGGGGTTGTAATGCTACACGGTGATGTCGTTTGGGTTGAAGTATGCGCCTGCTACCTTCCAACGAATGATTAACACGGTTTTTATCAATCAAATCGGAAGGAACGTGGAGGCGTATATTGATGACATGATAGTCAAATCCAAGCTACAGGCGGATCACCTAGCCGACCTCCGAGAAACCTTCACCACCCTCAGGCGGCACAAGGTCATGCTTAATCCCAAGAAGTGTGTATTTGGTGTTGAGTCTGGGAAGTTTCTCGGATTTCTGATTGATCAAAGAGGCATAGAGGCCAATCCGAAAAAGGTACAGGCGGTGATTGACATGAAGTCACCTCGTACTGTCAAGGAGGCCCAGAAGCTAACCGGTTTCCTGGCGGCATTGGAAAGATTCCT